CCACGCACACCACCCCCCCACCCCCCAGCTGCCAGGGGCACCGAGTTCATGAACTCAAATGCCGTTCATGAACACAGTGCCTTAGTTGCAGATTTTGACCTTCATGGGGGATACGAGAACGTATCCCCCTGCGAATGGCAAGGGTCACCTATACCTCACTTGGGGAAGGAGAGGATGACTTAGGCTAGGTACAGACATTCACAAAGCCAGAGGCAGAGTCAATTTAAGTTGCGTGATTTTTCTATAAACAGCGGGGCACAAATCTTAGATTGGGTTCTGCCATTTTTAAATCAGTCTATCTGTGCCTGGCCTTAGGCAGAAAGGTTTGTGTGAACTGTAATATAAGCATCATCAGACAGACGGCAGAGCTATCATTTCATTATTTAGAATTCTTTTTCATGGGTGCAGTCTGGACTAGCACTGACTCTTAAGAGACTAGCAATTAAGCATGGCATATGGGCTGATATGTGCTCGTAACCAAAAGAGAGCGTCTTCCACGTATATCTTCCCCTTGCAAATGCTGTTCTTTTAATGGCATCTCAGTCAGAACAAAAACGTTATGGTAAAAGCAGACCTCCGATATCCCCCAGCACTGTGGATCTTGCAGTAAAAGCCCATTATCTCACTTCACGTGTCCAAAATAACACATTTTTCCTAGGACAATCGCAGCTAATTTGAGTTAACTACCATCCATTCCAGGGATAAGCTCTGTGTGCAAAGGGCTTTGCTGCTCCCAGGTTTTGATCAATCAGAATCAAAATGCGACATCTATTTTTTACCCTTAGTGTTCACATTTGAATACTATAGTGATGGAGGCTATAAGTCCTTTGGTATTCAAACCAATTCTCTTATACGTAGAATGGCAGAGAACTTAAATAATTAAATAAATAAAGCAAGCACCTAGGAAGAATCTCCAAGTGATGTTGTCTCTTATTACTACAGCACAGAAGATTTTTTAACAAAGGGTTAAAGAAAGCAGTGAAGTGTCACTGCAAATAATAATGGTGAGTTCTCCCCAGATGTGGGGGAAATGAGCATGAAGGCTTTTGTTGGCAAGTCTAACAAACCCATGATAGGAAGTCTTGTTGGCAAGTGTAACAAAAGCCATGATAAATACATGGATTGGCTAGAAGTTGGACTTTAATTTCCTAAATAAGAGACAAGGTACAGGGCAGGGCTAGGGCCTGAAAGGCCTTGAAAGTGGAGAGAAGCAGCTTATATATGATGGAGGAGAGAAGGCAGACCCATTGGAGGGATGCAAAGAAAAGGAACAGTGACATGGAAAAAGTGACAGGCTAGGAAAATAGTCTTTGCTGCAGCCTTCTAGATGCATATGAGCAGGGCAAGGCTCCATTTCTCAAGGTCAGAGAGGGAGAGATGTTGCGGAGAATGGAGATATGAGATGCTGACATCCTAAATGAGAATTTTAGCTGTGTGGGTACATACAGAAAGCTGTATCTTTGAGCCATTAAGCAGCATGAATCAGCAAGATTTAAACAGAATCTGGCTGCAAGGCTCTAGAGTGAGATATGAATTAAAGATTACTTAAAGTAATGATTTCAGTGGGTGGGTATGTATACAAAAACAATTAATGCACTCTAATGTTACTGTTCTTTGTCTTCTTTTTAGGTAAAGATGATGAATTTCCCAAGAAGCCATTGGGACAAATTCCACCAGACCCACAGCCTGGTGTGCTTAACCTTACTCACATGCTCAATGGACAGAACAATACTGGTACACAGGCAGCACAGAGGACAGAGAGAAAACCGTCTTCTGAAGAAGTTCAAGCAAATTCACCAAATAACAGGAGAAGAATGAATTCCCTGGAAAAGAGGCCTTCATTCAAACAACAGAAGTCTGGGCCCCTGGATACACGGAGTGGGAACTCCAAGAATGATATAGATATCAGAAAAAAGCCTCAGCCAACAGCACAAGACACTTCCAGGCAATACAATAATGCAGCTGCTAACCAAAATTCGAATGCTACTTCAAACCCAAGAAGGGAATTTGTACCTAAGTGGAATAAACCATCAGATATCAAAGTTATTGAAAAGACCACCAGATTTAATGCTGAGGTCAAAGGTAGAACAGTAATCCATTCTGTTTCAGGCATGCCACCAAGTCCCGGAGAACCACAGCCATTGAATGTAAAGCAAAAGATAAGGGTTTTGGATGTTGATGAAGGTAAGCGAGGGTCTAACGCATCACAGTATGACAATGTTCTTGAAGTTGACCATGAGAATGAGAATCTTGTTGAGGAAGAGCTAGAGAGAGCTCACGTGCACAGTCCCAGGAATGTAATGTACTCTAATTCTCCTAGAAAGCAAGTGGAAAAAATCCCTAGTCCACTAAAAATATCCAGCAATTATGCCTTCAATTCACAACTGAGAACCCCACGGTATTCATCTCAATCTGATGGATCAAGTCATGGATTGAATGTAAAACCACCACTGCCATCTTATAATAACCCACCTACTTACCATGGAAACTCTCCAAAGCATGCCTCCAATATAATGAATTCTGGTTTTATATCTCCTCAGTATAATCATGGGAATCGAACCAGCCCTTCTAGTAGACCGTACGGTTCTGTCTTTTCAACAGAGTTTTTTCCTGATAAACCACATATGAACTCTTATCCTGCCAATCACCAAAATCCTTTGTCTCCAACTCCTAATAGAATAGAAGTTCTGCCTTTTGATGCCTATCCCAGCAGCTCTAGATCACCTACCAGCGTCAAATTCATAATTCCTCCAGTGGATTATTCCAGCAGAGTGTGGCCAGATGCTCCCTATGTGCACAGACCTGAAACATACGGGCAGCCTTGGAACCAAGATGCTAACCGAAGCCACTTGGATAACTTACAGAAATATCCATCCTTTCAGGCAGCACCTCTTCATGACCATAATCTTCCAACTGTTTCCGTGGATGGTTCAATAAGATACAGAACTTCACCAACCTTGGAAGAATATGGTTCACCACAATATCAATATTCAAGCCCATCATCCCATGTCCAGCCCCACAGAAGCCGAAGTGATGGGTTGTCTATGCATGAATCAATACTTCTGTGAAAACTAATCTATGCTAGCTGAAAAAGACAGGAACCAAAAACACTAAAGAGATAGTGCTGTGTTTATAATTATCCAGATCAGTATTTTATACAGAATTTGGACAGTTCATGCAAGTCTCTGAGAAATAAGAAATCTATTTCAGAGCAGTTTCACAGTTTGACTGGAGACTAGTTGAGCGCTTAAACCTGCATTGAGCCCGTTGAAAGGGATCTAATGCAGATAAGCATAGCAATAGCAATAGCGTCATATGCATAACATGGCCGATACTACCATTGTTTCTTAAATTGAAGTAACTTGTGTAGAGAAATGATCTATTTGCCTAACACATGTAACACATTTTCAAGCTGTAGTTTGACATTACAATGCACTGTATAATTATATGTGTGCGCTTGTATGCATAAACTTTATGTGTGTGTGTATGTGTGTGTGTATGTGTATATATATGTATACACACATACACACATATTTATGTGGAGAAGACCTAAAGAGTTCTGCATATATATATATATATATATATATATATATATATGGAGAAGAACTAAAGAGTTTAAAATGTAGATGCATTTACTCTTGGGCTAAATTTGAAGTATTTTTCAGTTTAATTATTTTATGTGTAATTTATTTGATAAATGAACCCATTCATTTTGAATGGGCTCTTCCTGTTATTCAGGTATCAACTGCCTCAGTAACCCAGAATCTGATCTGAGTTGGAGAGATGCTTTGGGATTATTAATGTATTCTTACCTGGGATGATATTGCCCAGGTAATCTCCTCTCCTTTTTGGCTATTGAATTGCCTTTTCTATAAGAAAATGGAACAGGCAGACAGAAAACCATGAAGCCAAAAACGGTGTCTGATCTGGCCAACAATGGTGCTTTAAAATCAGGGCAGTCTATAAGGACAGCATGTCTCTAGGGTATGGGTGAACTTTTGGCACAGATTTTCTACCTTTGCACCCAAATCCAGTTTCACAATGTGATGCTTTGTGTCCCTGTTGAAGTCCTCCGAAGTGTTTGAGCACAACATGCAAAGTGCCAGATGCAGAAGTAATCCTGCATTCTTGGCATGATGCTCATGCCAAGGAGTCAGACTTAGGAAGTCAGTTGTAGGGTACACTACTGGATTGCCAAATAGTCCTCTTATAGGTACAAAAAAATTGCCAGCCCCTTGACGTGTTGGGAGTAAGACATGCAGCCCTCTTAAGCTCTGTCATGTCAGTACCTTACTATGTTTTGCCCTCCTTTTTCCAAAGAGCCAGTAGGCTCATGTCCATGGCTGGGCAAATGCTTCTGCACCGTTAGGCTGTTGAGAAAAATTTGTGTAATGTCTTATACTAAAGTGACCCAGACTGTTAATAGGAAGTTTCCTAGATTCCTTGTCATTTAAATGTCACTGGTTAGTGCTTGCAGCCTTTTGTAACTACCTTTCCTTTTGTTTTCATCCACTGTGAAATGAAAAAGCGGCATTCTTAGGGTGCAATCCTCTGAGCTGCTGAACACCACGTGGAGGGTGCTGAGCACTCATTGAAGCTAATGGGAGTGAAAGGTTGTAAGAGCCTGGCGAGTTTGAGCCCTTGCAGGCTCTTAACAGAAGAGATTTCTAACTCTTAAATACCAAAACAGCAGCATCAGAATCAGGCTGGGTGTTGGGGAGGTGTTTTGAAGGGTTTGTTAGCAGTATACACTGAATGCAACATTGAACGCTAGAAAACATAACTTTTTTTTTCTTTAAAGATTGAGCTTTAGTGCCTATTCTTGCTGCAGGTTGGCTCTCTAAGTTGTAAGGTACAGAAGTAATTTTTTTTAATGGAAGCAATCTTTAGTTAGGATATTTCACAAACTTTTTTGTGTATATAAGGAGCCTGATGTAATTTTTAATAAACTGGGCAATTTTATATTTAAAAAATAATTGCAGAGAAATAACAGTAGCAAGGCACTACACTGAAACTCTAAAATTGAAATTGTGATGCTAAATATTATTTGGGCTTACCTTAGTTTTGATTGCTTATAGCAGCTTAGAAATGTCTGTATATATTAATATGGCTAAGCATAATAATCCCAAAGTTTAACCATGGTTCTGTGATACATTATAAATAAAGCTGTACAATTTACTTTGTGCAAACAGCACAAGGCTGCTCCAAAATATGTATCAACACTAGTAAATACTGTAGATTTTTTATATATAAAATATATACACACTATTTTCTTACGTCATCTGCAACAGTTTTATAACTGTGTATCCTATTTTGATGTGACCATATTTTTAACATGTTAAATAATAATAATTAAGTCTTTGTTGTTTTTGTGCCTTTTTTTACCATGTTTGATTATGCTCATAGTTAAGGTATACTTCTTTTCTTCCCAGGATGAATGATGCACATGGTTTGATAATGTAGGCCCTTTTTACTTTGTCTCCGCATTTTACTTTTTGACTCAGCAATATCAGTATAGTCCTTAGAAAGCCTCTTCACCATTCCAGCAGCAGACAGGTATTGATTGTAGTCTTCTTCATTGTTAAAGCAGTGTTTGCAATATTTTTGGAAACCAGGAATTTGAACTGTCATCCTAATTTTCCTGCCCTCTCCCAATATTGTCACCTACTATGAGTCAACAACAGTGGACCATGAAGCCTTTACAGTTGTATTAATGACAGAGCAAATCTTTTTTTCTATGGATTTAATGTGGCAGAGCCACCTGTACTGTTTTATAGAGAAAGAAGCATATTCTTGCTTATAAAATCCAGTTATTTAGTAGTAATTAAAGGCATTCTCAACACCCAGGATGTCATTCCTGTTAGTTAACAAAAAACTCAGGGTTACAAAACATAGCAAAACACAAGTAGCAGTATCTTTTGCATAAGAAATCCTACTTTGGCAGGGGTCGTGACAAATGAGATGTCCTCACAATTTCTTGATTTTCTTATTCTAAAGTGTGCAAACAGTAAATGTAGATACATAAATACTCTTGGCTAAGTCCTCCCAAAATTTCAGAGAGTTTAAGGTGAGGACGGACTGCTAGATTCTATAGTCCAAAATGTTGTAATACATGGCATTTTCATCCAGGTGCCTGTATTAAGTATAAGGACTTTGGCTGGACTAAATTATTGCATCACAGAAAACAGGCAAGAGGTGTTGACACTACCCAGCAGTGGCGGGTCCAGATGATCCCAGCTGGCCGTGGATGCTGTAGAAGAAGCCGAAAAACCTCTTCCGGTCTCTGCCAATCTAATCTGGCCATAAAATTCCTTCCTAGCTCCCAATCTGATGGTCAGTCTGAACTGGGATATGTGAACGCTTCAGCTAAGCAGCCAGGAGAGAGAATTTGATACTACTCAAGAGCATTGATTCAGCTTGTCTGATGTCCCATCTCTATCTCTGGTCAATCTGTAATGGTTTAGAAGATGATGTGTATTGGGGGGGGGGGGAGGAAGAAACAAAGTAGCCAATTGTATATCCTTCCTGACCCCTGCTGCCAACTTATCTGAAAGCCTGAAGCATGAGGTTTGATTATAAGCATTGTCATAATGCAGAGGTAAAAATTTTGGGAGTATTGAAAGCAGGCCATCCCAACCTTTCTGAAGAAGTATGAAGGAAGGAGGTAAATGGGTGTTTTAGTAGGATTTACACCCTTATAATCAGGGATGGGTGAGAGCCACTTCCACATAGTGATCACTCGTTAAGGTCTCTGGTGGCCAAGAGACCCCAAATCGACAAGAACGCCAAAGCAAACAAAGCTAAAGATACGGACCCCGTTTTTATCATACAAAAGAACCCTCATAACCCAGAGAAGAATTGAAACCTTGTTATAAAGTAACAGTCTAGCACTGTATCCTCTCTACCTTGCACTCCCTCCCCCCACAAAAAACCCCCAAACCAAGCAAAGCAATGCTGGCACTGCTGCTGGGAACCCTTGGACATAGCTTGAGATGTCTCTTAATTCCAAAATTAGTTCTGAAGAGTAAACAACATCAAAATGTCAAAAGGCAGCACAGCCTAGCAATGTTGAGAGGCGAATCCCCAGGTTCCCTGAGGGACTTGTGTACCTTTTCCAAGGAGATTTTTCTGAAGAACCCCTACCCTGAGTTTCACATCACCCGAGATTTGACTTTGAAATTGACTTGCAAATTACAGATTTTTTTTTTCATCTCCCCCGTGGGTCCCATTACCCTGCTTGCACAAAGGGGGAGTACTATTCAAAATATGCCATCAAACGCCTACCTTTTTATTTTCCAGCAGTGTGCATTCAGCTTCCAGTACTTTGGGGAGGAAAAAATCCTTTTTATAGTTCTGTAAACATGGCATGCTTTATGAAGATCTGTGAATGCTGCATAGTTACAGCTTAACAACATTTTAAGCAAAAAATAGTCTCCTCTCTTTAAATGTTAAAAAAGCATAGATTTCTCTTCTTGCATAACATGCCAGAGGGGTTTTTTTTTTCTTTCCCTTTTGGGATGTTAAGGAAACCCAAACGCTTTCAGATGCACTGCTGTGATTGCAGAAACAGTTAGGCCAATAACAACAATTGCAAACATGATTGCAGTGATTTGAACATGGCTTTTAAAATGGTTGCCAAATCTATCAAGCTTGAGGAAAAGAACCGTGTTCTGGTTTCTCTGTACCAAAATAAGTGCTTAACTGGAGCAAAAAAAATGCAAGTTCTCTCCTGAGTTTGATGCCTGCCCATGGCATTGTCTTTTAGTTTTTATTTGTACCCACAGAGTAATCCATCCACAGGTACAGAACACCTGGGGGGTTAAAATCTTCGGAGAATCAGAATATCACGTTCTCCCTCCTGCCCCTGATTGTATGGGTTTCTTTTGTGTATTCTATTGTGGTAGGCGAGGGAAAATCAACCTGTACTTCATTCTTTTCTTCCCCCTTCATTTTGGCCAGATTTCTAGAGCTCTTTGGAGTTTCCTCGAATAGCCATGTTTTTGCTCATTGACTGCTATTTGCTGGTAATGCAATCAAAGCAGTTAAGAACGCAGAGGTCGTCCTGCACCTCGCCAGGCTTTTCTTCTGACAGTGTTCAGAGAAAACTGGTTTGCTTTCTCAGGGGGAGAGCTGGTCAGAATTTTTTTGGCAAAATTGTATTCTCAGAAAAATGCCATGTTGACCATCTGAATGTCCCATTGGACCGGGTTGACTGATGTCAGATCTTCTTTTGGAAACCAGGTGCATTTTCGAAGGTTTTGTGCCAGTTGGGCTCTCTAGCTTCTCCAGAGCTACAAGTCCAAAGGACCCAGGAGCCTTGGCTTGAGCTGGAGTTCTGAGGCCTTGTACCCATCCCGCTCCGTAGCATGAAGTCTGCAAGCAGCCTGGAAGTCCAAACAAAATGGCATTGGGACTTTTCTGTATAAAATCCTTGAAAATTCTTTTTTGGGGGGGGAGACATGGTGGTTTCCTACTAATGCAGAAAACTTTTTTTTTTAAATGCTAAAATTTCTTGCACCCCAGGCATTTCAGATTCTAACTGACCCTATTAACACTATCCAGTGGGGGTGTGCGAATGGGCTGTATTCGATTTGGATTTGGCCTGTATCGGGGACAGTGACTTGATTCATTGATTTGGATTACTGTCCCAATTCGATTTGGCCCAATCTGAAGATTCCTTCCTGATTCGGAGAATCAGCGATTCAGCGATAGACACAGGTTTAAATGTTTTTTTCTACAAATCTCGTGGTACCAGGCGCAGCTCATGAACGCTGCAATGGCGAGGCGGATGGAGCGTCCCACAGGAGTGGGAGGGGGCACCCCATGTGCTTGGTGGTGAATCTAGAAGTGGACTGGAAATACTTCATGGTCTGCCACTGAGTGAGTTGGGGACCCTCTCGTGCCCCCCCTGGCTCGGCGATCAGCCACAGGGGGACCCTGAGTAGTGCCCTCTCCCAGACCCAAGAGGCACCCGTTGCTGAGCCGGGGGCCCAGCGTGCTTCCCGGCTGACCCAGAAGTACTTCCACTCCACTTCTGTGTCCGTTGCTGATTACGCTGGGGACCCCCTTGTGCTCCTGTGGGATGCTCCATCTCCCCCAGCATCTCAGAATTCACGAGCCGCCGGGTACCTCAAGGTACGTAGAAAAAACATTTAAAGCTGTGTCTGTCTGAATCATCGAATCTCTCCAAATCAGTTCAGAGGGTTTCGATTCAATTCAGAGAGATTAAAGGGTCTCCTGATTCAATTCAGATTCAGAGATTCAGCTGCCAAATCGGGTCGCATCTCCACTGAATCAAATCAGCGACTGAAGCTTTGCACAGCCCTACTATCCATAGACCTTGGTAAGGGTATAGTAAAGGTATATTTTGAGAGTATTATACATATCGTGAGGGTTTTTTTGTCCTGGAAACTTCTTTCTAAAGGGCTTTAAAGGTTTTCTGAAGAGTTGGTGGGGGGGAGGACTATTATATTTGGAGTTGCTTTTTCAACACAAGGCTACATCTATAAGAATACAGAAGAGGTAAGGGGAAGTACTTTCCCTGGAAATGCATGAACGTTTCCTTTCCCTGTTCTGCTTTGTCTCACGTTTTGTATCCCTCTCCTAAACATTCACTTTGACAGTGACGGCCGTCCCACGGGAGAGAGCGGCTATCTGCTTTGAGAACATTGTCTGCTCTGATACCAAATGACATGTTAAAGGCTAGAGGGGGTTATGGAAACTTTTCAAGATTACTATCTGGTTCTCTCCTTCCAAGTGCAGGAGCCCGAGTACACTTTAGTGGTTTGCACCAACTGGGAGGAATGTCGATCTTGTCGTGTTTGCATGGTTTGGGATAAGCACGGGCCTTCCCTACTTGGTTCCAGTCACAGTCAACACACAGCTTTATTCTCAAGGGAAGCTTCAAGCTGTGTGAAAATCCAATCCAGGCCTTCTCTTTTGGCTTCTTCATTCCTGGGTTTTCATCCCAAGTCCTGTAGCCCGGGGCCTTTCCTGCAAGACCCACCTGCAGGGTCTGGGTCAGAAAAACGCATTGAGCACTTATACGCGTACATTTGTCTGCTCTGACGTGCCAGAGATCCAGCGCGTCGGAGCGGACTCAGTTAATCAAGTCTCTCCACGTGCAGGCTGACGTGCCAGGCGCTGCATTTGTAACAGCGAAATGTGTCTGGGCTGAGAAAATAGTGGCAGTGCGCTTTTGAATTGAAACACCTTTGTGTGTTAGTTCAAAAGTGCACTGCCGCCATTTTCTCAGCACTGGTGTGCATTTCGTCATTTATACAAACGCGTGCCTCAGCGCCAGGCACAAGCATGTGTACAAATGCCCATTTAGTGTTTTCCAGCCGCCTCGCTGCCCACTA